TTCCACACAGTATACAGTACCTCTTCATTTCTAATTTTCTCTATCAACGGTATCCTCATCATTCGCCTGTAGTACCACATTTCGAACGCTTTTAACCTTTTCTTTTCTCCCGCGCCCACTGCCCATGTTTCTCACCCGTATAGCGCCGCGTTCCAGAAAAAACACCTTTAACATTCTTTTTCGAATTTCTAAATTAATCATTCGCGAAAAGTGACTTCTTTTTATTAAAGGCGACACGACCCTGCACTATCCTCTGCTTTAAATCCCTACTACTCCTTCCCCTAGACAAAAATTTTCAGTCTCTCTCCAGTCTCTCAGAGTCTTTCAGCGTCTCTGAGAACGTCTCTCACAGTCTTTCACAGTCTCTCAGTTATTGCGTAGGTGTTTTTATGGATTTCTCACAGTCTCTGTATGAGAGACTCGAACAATAAAATTGTTAATTCAGAGACTCGAGTCTCTCGCAGAAAGACTGAATGAATAAAACAGAAAAATTGGGAGACTCGAGTCTCTCGTTCAGAGACTGGATACGAAATGAGGACCTCTCAATGAGCGACTCGAGTCTCGTTCAGAGACGCTAAAAATTTTTTTTGACAGTCTCTCGATAGTCTCTCTCAGCGACACCAGAGAGACTCGAGTCTCGCTTTCAGAGACTCTGAGAGACTGAACATTTTTATCTCGGGTCCGTCCTGACTTATGTGACTTCCTGGATATTTAAAATCAGACACTTCTTCTAATTTTTCGTCTCCTATCTTTATATTCGCCTTTCCCTACTTTGTCTGATTAGATATGATATATTATTTACAGATCTCTTATTACAATTATCATTTCTTTCTCTTGTTCTACGAATGCGAAACGACAAAACCAATATTCGGTGAAAAGTTTTTACAAAACCACCAACCGGCGTTTCGGCATATATTTACAAGAATAGAATAAGGTTATTTTATTAATTTATGATGTAATACATGCCGCTATTTATACTTACCTATTAGGTTTTGGGTCAGTACATTATGTTACTAATTGTAAGATAATAAGAACCTCAGGTAGACACGTATTGATATTATGCAATAACATTAAAGGACACAAACTATCGTATAGATAAAACACTAATTTATATGATAAATTAAAAACCTGTTTCCAAATAATATATGTCTTTTAATTCGTTAATTAATTATATTCACTAGTTTTTAATCTACACAACTCTTTCTCTCTTTCAATGTCATTTATCTAGAGACATCTTATATCTACTCGTCTTAGTAACACAATCTACCGACAAAAAACTCAGCAAATGTAAATATTATCATACATTATAAATTAGCATAACTTTATAATATACTTGTAGCCTTGATGAAGTCCTCTAAACGCGAAATATTGGAGGGTAAGTTTTTTAAGAATAAACGGCTTTTCAACCCTCATTGACTTTGGTTCTTCGCATTCGATCTCTTATTATATTTTTTGTGGGTATAAACATTTTGGTTTTTGTTATTAAGGATATTCAATATAGTAATTAAATGAAAAATTAATGACTGGATTCTTTGAGAAATTTTAATTTATACTTTCCTTTAGTTTTTCGGTCAGTTAAATATTAGAATAATCACTGGATTAAAGGTTCCATTGATGTAAAAAATAATTGAATCATTAACCACCTACCTAACCTATTTTAGCTTATACAATTCGCCTAATAGGGTATTTTATGATAACTGAAATAATTATAGATATCATCAATGGAGACATTTTTAAAACAATTTTAGAAATCAATTCAAATTTACTGAATTTATTATTTATTCAAACAAAGCTTGTTCCCCATTTTAATACAATATCGTCTGTAGCATCTAAATTTGATTTAAAATTGATGATATAATAAAAAGAAATTTCAA